CTAGCCATATCAGCCTAGAAAATCGCAACTTTACATTTCCGTCGGTCTTAGTGCACGATGTAACTACAGAAGAGTCAAGTTTTAAATAGGAAAAATATCGAAACACTTTGGTCATTTTTTAATGAGAAATGCTAATGGTCTTGTCCACTTCAATGATGTATGCTAAGCTATGCTAAAAGTGGTACCGCCAGAACCGGAGATCGGCTGAATGGATTCAAAAACGGTAAAACTCAACAGTTTAACTCTGGGGGAGTTGTAAATTGAGCCTATTTCCAAAAAAAGTGGAGTATCCCTTTAAGATCTCCTCATGTGTTCCAGTGAATCTGTGAGCTGAAAAAAGAGGGATCCTCTTTGTTGTATCATAGAGTGTTGCAAATCTTATTCTTTCCTTATATTTTTGACAGTATGCAAGTGCTGAATATACAGACATTCAACAGGCCTACTATACAATATTCAGTACAATACTATACTTGCAGTGCATACAGTATACAATATATTTACCTTACTACTGTAAGTTGTGATTACTATACTTTTTTACGTAATTGCAAAATCAGTTTACTTCATTACAATATACTTTTTTTGTAACTGCATGCTTTGGATTCTGTGTTCTCCATTTTTTGATGTAGTGTCTAATGAAAGATCTGTAGTCTTTATAATATTGACTCATGTGTGTAGCCTATGATCTGAAAGCAATGCTTGATTTTGAGCACAGATAAAATAGTTTTAAGGCAATTGTTTGATTTTGCCAGAAGATTCAGATGTTCTCTGAATGTGACTTGAAGATTTGTTCCCTATCAGTCGGTCACTATGACGTATGTCATGACCGACCAATAGGAATCTCGCTAGAGAGACCAATCTACTTCGAGTGAAACTAAACAAGCCAATGCACATTGGCGTGTAATCATTTGCATCAGCTGCGCAGCCTCGCAGCGCTGGTATTTAACGCAGCTGATGATGATTGCACTCTAGCTTTATGCTTCGGAGCCAAGCACTTCGTATGCTGACTACACAGAGTGAATCTGCAAGTCCCTTCTGGACCTCTCCACTTTGGTGCGGGCGTGACAGCACAGCAGCGCGAGCGGCCTTCTTTTCTCTCTCTCTTTTTTGTTTTCTGTTTTTTATTTTTAAACTGAGCAAAACAAAAAAGCTGTTTTCACAGCTGGTAAAGTGCGCGGTGAGAGCGCTCAACAGCCATTTTCACGGCTGGTAAGATCAGTGAGAGAGAACAGCGCACAGACAGGTGCACATTCCTGTCTGTGTTCGCGGTGACCGTTCCCCTGCGTGCTTCAGCACCAAGGAGAGCAGTCCCTAAAAGAGCTTACACAGTTCGCGTCTTTTTCAAGATGACGTTCTATCTGTGTGTTTCTGGATGTGATCGTTACCTGGGGTCACGGGATGGTCACGATCGCTGCCTCGTGTGTCTGGGCCTCGAACACGCTGAGGCAGCGCTCGTGGATGAGTCATGTACCCATTGTGGAAAGATGACCATCTCGGAGCTGCGGTCGAGACTCACGTTCCTGCAAAGGGGCGGATTCCCCGTGCCTCTGCCTTGATCCAATCCTCCTCAGAGGGTTGCTTTAGGCAGTGACATGGGAGACCTGAGGATTACGGTGAGCGCGTTCCTTCGGGGAACCAACCTCCTAGGAACGCTCACCCCTCTCACGCTCCGCAGCCAGTTGAGCCACCAAAGGAACGTGCTGGACCATCCTCGGGGTGTGTACCAGTCGTTTCATTTGGTGCTCCCCGCGGCAATCAGATGTCGATCGCTGCATCGGAGGGTGGGTCAGACTTCTCCCTGGACGACGGCTCGGAGCCGATGCCTCTTTCGGGTGTGCCAGCAGTGCCCAAGTCGGACCCAGAGATGATGGCCATGCTTTCCCGGGGCGCCAACAGGATCGGGCTCGAGTGGAACCCTCCACCGAGTCCCGAGCCCTCGAGGCTGGACGATTGGTATCTCGGGAACGGACCTCACGCTTCGTGCGACGAAGATCACCGCGCGGTCAGTGGGTCGTGCGATGTCCACCTTGGTGGTCCAGGAACGTCATCTCTGGCTGTGTCTGGCCGACATGAGGGAGACCGACAAGCTCCGGTTCCTTAACTCCCCTGTGTCCCAGACTGGCCTTTTCGGCGACGCGGTCGAGAACTTCGCCCAGCAGTTCTCGGCTGTACAAAAGCAGACTGAGGCTATCAAATACATCCTGCCGCGGCGGTCAGCTGCTGCCTCTACCCCACCGCCCGCGGCTCCTCAGTCTGCTCGTCGCCGGGGGTGTCCTCCTGCGGCTGCCCATGCTCCCGTGCCGCAGCAGCAGCCTCCACCTAAACGGCGCCGTGGAGCCAGTCGCAGGCAGGCCGCCCCGCCCGTCCAGGCCCCCGCCAAGAAGGGTGGCAAAGCCAGAGGTAAGCGGCCCCAGGACGTGCGACCTGGACATGGATGGGACTGCTCTCCAGGAGACGGTGACCGCACCGCTCCTTTCCCTGAAGAGGGCCGAGTGGAAAAATCTTCTGTTTGTGTTCCGCCGCTGGCCTCAAAAACCAGTGGTACCCAAATTTTCAATAAAAGAGCAGTTTCCTTCATCTCTGGGTCCGAAGAGAGCAGTGGGAGGAGAGAATCCTCACCACTCTCATCCGCCTCTTCTATCGCCAGCGGGCAGCAGTGTGTGGTCTGAGAACGCCACCGAGCCGCCTCCTGCACCTCCTGCCCCGTGGAACCAGGTAAGTGTTGCACAGCACACTCAGACCCCGCTACGGACCGCCTCCCAGAGAGAGCCTACCTCGCTGCCCCACTCCGGGTATGCCTACGGTCCCTTTGGTCCCGCTTGTACGGTCTCTGCGAGCCTGGTTAGAGCTCCCCAGTCTGTCTCGCTGGCTCATTCGGACCATCAGGCTCGGCTATACGATTCAGTTCACCCAGCGTCCCCCCAAGTTTCAGGCCATCCACTCCACTACAGTGAGAGCAGCCGATGCCCATGTCTTGCTTGCTTGTCGTGACACTTGTGCAGACCATTCACATCAATTTTATGTCCACAATACGTGATGGTGTCTTTGAAAAACTCACCCTTGTCACGTCTTGCGCGCAGTCCATACTCTTCCAATCTCTTTAAAACTCGTGCTAAGTTCTCCAAGTGACTACTGTCACTGTCACCTGTGACGATGATGTCATCGAGGTAACATTGGGTACCAGGGCAACCCTGAAGTACCTGATCCATAGCCCTTTGCCACAAGGCCGGTGCTGAGGCGACGCCGAAAACAAGCCTGTTATAGCGATACAAGCCCTTGAGAGTATTGATAGTCAAGAACACTTTTGAGTCCTCCTCCATTTCCATCTGTAAATATGCTTCCGCCAAGTCTATTTTACTAAAGAGCTGTCCACCTGCAAGTGTAGCAAAAATATCCTCTATTCTTGGTAGTGGATATTGTTCTGCCTGCAATTCAGGGTTGACTGAGACTTTAAAATCCCCGCAAAGTCTAACAGTTCCATCTTTCTTGGCAACAGGAACAACTGGAGTTGCCCAGGGACTCCAGTCAACCTTTGAAAGTATTCCTTCAGCTTCCAACCGATCCAGCTCATTTTCCACTTTCTGGCGAATAGCATAGGGAACAGGTCGCGCCTTGTGAAACCTGGGTACTGCATTCTCATTCAGGGTTATCTTTCCTTTTATATGCTTCAGCGTTCCTATTCCCGACTGAAACACAGCTACAGCCCCATCCAGCACTTTTTCCAGTTTCTTTTGGGTGCACTTCGATGAAGGAACTGTGACTTGCAGACTTTTTATGGATTTCCAGTCCAGCTGCAACTTTCTCAGCCAGTCACGTCCCCAAAGTGCTGGTCCCTCTGTTCGTACTATGTACAGATCTAATTCACTCTGTTGATCATTGTACATTACTGTCACAGGCATCACCCCAAGAGGGATTATGGGCTCACCAGTATATGGTATATTCTGCACATTTCAGTTTTGAATCTGCACTGATTTGCTTTGTGTCCACCTCTGTCACAACGGTAACAGTTCAACTTTTTGCATAGTTCTTTTAGGTTTACCTGCAGTGGTCACCTTGTTTACAGACATTTTCACTCCTGATCTCAGCTCTACTGCATCTCTGGCAGCCGTTTCCATGGCGACAGAAATTTCAACTGCACGTTTGTATGTTAGATCTGCCTCAGAGAGCAATCTCTTCTGTATACTCTCTTGTGCAATGCCACAGACTAGACGATCTCTCAGTGCGTTATTTAGTCCGTCCCCAAACTGACAGTGTTCTGATAATTTCTTTAATTCAGCTACATAAACTGCGATTGACTCTCCATCATTCTGATTCCGTTTATGAAATCTGAATCGTTCTGCAATGAGCAGCGGTTTTGGTGCTAGATGCTCTTGCATTATCTTCACAACGTTGTCAAAACTAAGATCAGCAGGCTTTGTGGGAGCAGTGAGGCTTCTCAGCAGAGCATATGCTTTCCCTCCTATCGCCCTCAACAACACTGACACCCGCTTTTCATCATCGATGTCATTAGCTTTGAAATACTGCTCTTTCCGATATATCCTGCCATCTTACTTAATTCACTTACTGGTTTGTGCTGAATCTACCTCTCAATCTCAGTGAGGCGGTGTTTTCATCTCCTTTTTATCACATCTCCCAGAAAAAAAACCGTCCATCCAGAAAAAAAAAACTAGGAGACAGCGCTTCCATATGATAACCAAAAATCCTCGTCGCCAATTGTTGTGTTTGTCTATTTAAAAAATACAATAATCAGAGTCGAGACAACGATGAACATTCTTCTTTTGTATTTTTACTGTGCAACATGGAACAACATGCTGGCCAACCAAATTCAATCCAGAGTTAACCTAGAGTGGCCAAGTAGTGCTTATTCCTGAGTTTACTGTTATTCTTGAAATACACCTCTGGTGCAACTCAGACACATCATCAGTGATGTATCCTGGGTTCATTGGGTGTTTCGGGTCTCACAACATCATACACCCTCGCCCAGGCGACCCAGCCAGGGTTGATCAGACCCTGGCTTGTGTCTGAGTAGCTTGTAAGATCCACCGATCGCCCCGCTTGATCCATAGCCATCTTGACGCCTTTTCGGCGGCGTCCGTGATGTTCTTGATGGCTTTTCTGATGTGCAGTCCCTCCACTCCAAGCATCTTGAGGGCCCTAATCAGTGACTGGCCGACGAATCCTCTGCACCCGACCTCGATGGGATTACATCGGGTCCTCCACCCCCTGCTTCGGCATTCGCCTGCCAGCTCCTCATACTTGGCCCTCTTCCTCTCAAAAGCCTCCTCCATCCGGTCCTCCCAGGGAACAGTCAACTCCAGCAGGACCACTTGCCTTGTTATTTCTGACACCAGGACAATGTCTGGCCTGAGTGTGGTCACTGCGATGTTTTCTGGGAATTTGAGCTGTTTCCCAAGGTCGACCTTCAGCTGCCAGTCCTGTGCTGTTGCCAGCAGCCCCCCTGATTGCTTCAGGCGCTGGTGTGGCTTCTCCCCAGCTTTAACAAAGCCGATGTTCTGCCTTGCTGGCTGCTGGTATCTACTGCACGCGATCCCAGTGCTGATAACCTCTGCAATGACCCTCAGTACTTGGTCGTGGCGCCAACGGTAGCGCCCCTCTCCCAGTGCTTTTGAGCAGCAGCTCAAGATGTGCTCTAATGAACCTCCTCTCTGGCAGAGTGGGCACAGTGGTGTCTCTGCCAGGCCCCAGCGGAAGAGATTGGATGGACTGGGGAGGACATCATAGACAGACTGAACCAGGAAGTTAATCCGGTGTGTCTCAGACTTCCACAATTCTGTCCACGATATTTTCCGGTCTGCCGCCTGCTCCCATCGAGTCCATGCTCCCTGTTGCCTCATCCCTACTGACCTGCTGCAGCGGACTTCTTCCACCCCAGCTCGGACCTCCTCTTGAATCAGCTGCCTCCTTTCCTTCCCCTGGGCCTTGTTAAAGCGAGGTCTTGGATTGCTCCCGAGTCCTGCCCGTCCAGATGCCACTGCCCCCATCAGCTCACTATGTCGCAGCCGTGACTCAGCCTGGTCTACTGCCTCTTGGGCCTTCCACTTCCTGCCGGTTCTGACTTCTATGCCTGCCACAGAGACCTTGATGTCACTGGAGTCTCTATACAGTAGCACCTCTCTTGATCGGGTTACCATAAACTCTTCCTTCAGACTGCTGAAGGGCAATTTTAGCTTGTTCTTCCTCCCGTACAAGGCGATGTCACTGAGGCTTCGTGGTAGGCCTAGCCACTTCCGCAGGGAACTGCTGACTTTCCTCTCAAAGCATTCAACGGTGGTAATTGGCACATCGTAGACCAGCAGTGGCCAGAGCAGTCGGGGCGGGATGCCGTGCTGGTAGATCCAGGCTTTAAATTTACCTGGCAGACCTGACTTGTCCACAGCCGTCAGCCAGATTACCAACTGGTTGGTGGTTGTCTGGAGAGCTGCGGTGTCCTTCAGGGTGCAGTCGTAGATCTTACCCAGACTCTTGACTGGATTTTCTCCGACAGATGGTATCTGGATGTCTCCTAGTGAGAAGCGGAACTGGTCTGTAACCTTCCCTTTCTTTACCACCAGGGACCTGGACTTAGCTGGCTTGAAATCCATCCGAGCCCAGTTGATGAGGTGCTCGAGCCCTTGGAGGATCCATCTGCACCCCGGAACCGATGTTGTGGTCACCGTCAGATCATCCATAAATGCTCTTATGGGGGGCTGCCGTATGCCTGACTTGGTGAGTGGGCCTCTGCACTCTACCTCTGCAGACTTCACCAGCATATTCATCGCCAAGGCAAACAATATCACGGAAATAGTACATCCCGTGATAATGCCCTTCTCAAGCCGATGAAATGCAGATGTTTCCGTTCCAGAGGTGACTCTCAGACTGAAGGAATTATAATAATCCAGTATGAGGTGCTTTGTCTTGTCTGGAACGTGGTGTCGGTCAAGTGCGGCTTCTACCAGCCTATGAGGGATTGACCCGTAGGCGTTGGCGAGGTCGAGCCAGAGGACTGCCAGATCCCCTTTGCGTTCACGTGCCTCACGTAAGAGCTGAGTGACAACTCCTGTATGCTCGATACATCCTGGCATCTTTGGGACTCCCCCCTTCTGCACCGAGGTATCGATGTACTTGTTCCTCAGAAGGAACTCCGTCAGGCGTCGGGCAAGAATACTAAAGAAAATTTTGCCCTCAACACTGAGGAGCGAGATGACTCTGAACTGTTCGATTGTACTTGAGTTCTCCTCCTTCGGGATCCAGACACCCTCTGCGTGTCGCCACTGTTGCGCCACCTTCCCCCTCCTCCAGATGACCTTGATTAGTTTCCATAACCTCTTCAAGAGTCTGGGGCACCTCTTATAGACGACATACGGCACTCCACTCGGGCCTGGTGTGGAGCTAGTTCTAGCAGCCTTGACGACTTCTTCAACTTCTTTCAAAGTTGGCTCCCTGATGTTAAATTCCGAGGTGGGTTCCGGCGGAGTTATCAACGTTTTACATGGCCCGAGGTCTTTGTCTCTTGCACTGTCACTGTAGGTGGTGCTGAGGTACTTGTTAACCTCTTCTTCAGTGCACGCAAGATGGCCACTTTTTTTCTGCCAGAGGATCTTCTTCGTAAATCCAAAAGGGTTAGAAATGAAGGCGACACGTTTCCTGGCTCTCTCCTTGCCCCTCCTCCTATGCCACTCAGCTCGCCGGAGGGTGGTTAGTCTTTTCCTCAGGGTGTGGCGGAGTTCTGCCAGACCAGCCTTTTCATCCTCCCTTGCCTGCTTAAACTGCCGCCCAAGCAGTCTGAGCTCACTCCTTAGCTGGCTGATCTTCACTTCCCGTCGGTTTGGCTCTGCCACACCTCTGGTCAGCTGTTGTTCCTTAATACCAAACCTTTCGGCTCCGATGCTGATGATCATTGCTGACAGAGCCCGCAGCTTCTGGTCTACACCCCCCCTTGCAGTAGCTTCAAGGATTTTGTCCAGGTCCTCATCGAACTGGAGCCACTCTCTCTCCTTGTTGGCAGCAGGCCACTTGACCCGGCGGTGTTCGGAATGTCTGACATGGGGTGGGGCTTGTGGTGCGTGGAGGTTCTGGGCACTGTGGGGTGACTCCGGGCCGGGCTCCTCCTGCGTCTCACCAGGTATTGGACCGGTTAAGTGCATTCTACTCAATACACTACAGTTCCCTCCCTCAGGGAACGAGGGTTACCATATGTAAGAAATTAAATTAATCTGCATAAATTAAAGTGCATACTCATAAGTATATGAATTACAATAATATAAAATATAGTAGGGCTGCAATAACTAAATGATAAAATTGTCCATTATCAATAATGAAAATAATCGACAACGAATTTGATTAGTCGAGTCTGTATAATCGACAGATTAATCGATTATCAAAATAATCATTAGTTGCAGCCCTAAAATATATTGTTATTATATATAATTATATAGAAATTACATAACTGACTTCCGGTTTGACGAACCAGGAGATGGCAGCTTAGAGAACGTGCTCCCGACAATTTCGGACAAAGTTACCTACTACAGCCCGAATATTTAGAAACAAACTTAGTTCACAGTGTGATTTTAAGACAGTGGGTTTTGAGAATGCCCAAAGGGAAAAATAAAAAGTCAAAGCAGACGGAGTTACTTGACGTCGAAGGAGCTAGTCAAACTTCATCGCCTAGCAGCGTAATGGAGGATGATGATGATACGCATACGCAACTCGGAGCGGGTCAAAGTGAGACCGGGGACTGTGGCCTCATACTTAAAGAGCTGAGAGAGTTCAAAAAAGACAGCAGTCAGCAGCTGAATGCGATTCGGGAAGAAATTAATAAATCCAATACTAGGATTGAAGAAGCGGAGAGGAGGATTGACGCGACTGAAACACGGTTACAAGTGGCGGAGGATACCGTGCAGGAGCTGCTACACCTTCAGATACACTTGGACGCTAAGCTGACTGATTTAGAGGGCCGCTCCAGACGAGAAAATATCAGAATTCACGGCGTTAAAGAGGGAGCTGAGGAAAATTCCCCATCGATGGTGGTGTATGTGGAGCGCTTGCTGCGGGAGGGCTTGGAGCTTCTAGCTACATTTGAACTTCGAGTGGAAAGAGCTCACCGCGCCTTGATGCCGAGGCCGACTGGGGAAGCCAAGCCGAGGTCCATCCTTGTCAAGATGTCAAGCTACAGGATGAAAGAAGAGCTGTTGAGAATGGCCTGGCAAAAGCGAAGATTTCAACATCTCGGGAAAAGAGTCAATCTCGATCACGATTACGCGCCGGATGTCTTGAAAAAGCGAAGGGAGTATGCCGAAGCAAAAGCGGTATTGAAGGAGAATAAAATCCGATTTCAGACGCCGTTCCCCGCCAGGGGGGCGGGGGGGATCTTAACATTAGACTAAATCCCGAACTGGACACCTCAAATACACACACAGTCCAGCCCAATTTGATAAGTAAAAAGATCAATCTGTCTATGAAAGAAATTGGGTTAATTGATATCTGGAGAGAATTAAACCCTTCAAAGAGAGACTACACCTTTTTTTCAAATCCACACTTGGCATGTTCAAGGATTGATTATTTTCTTACTTTTGCTCTAAACAGGGTAGTTAGCTGCGATGTGGGGAGCATGGACCTTTCAGACCATAGCCCCATTTATTTAAAACTAAATCTTGAACAGTACCGAAAGACACCTTATGGAGGTTAAACACATTTGTACTGATTCAGATGAAGGAACAAATTAAGAGGGATATTGCTGAATACTTAGAACAGAATGACAATGGGGAAGTTCCCCCTCCAATATTATGGGATGCATCTAAAGCTGTGCTTCGAGGGAAGATAATTGGATACAGTGCTCACCTAAAGAGAGTAAGACAAAAAGAGTTAATTAAGCTGGAAGTAGAACTAAAACAAATGGAACAACACCACAAAGACACAAATGATCAAAAAAATAGAGAGCTACTTAGGAAGAAAAAGAACGAAATAAACGAGATTTATACAAAGGAAATACACAAAAAGTTAATTTTTACACAACAGAAATATTATGAAGGGGGCGGGAAAGCCAGCAAATTATTAGCATATAGGCTGAAAAAACAACAAGCAGAGAATTCAATTCATAAAATAAAAAATCCTATTACTAATTCTATGCATTACAAATTAAATGAAATACAAGATTGTTTTGAAAATTATTATAAAAAGCTATACTCCCAGCCTCAAATAGATGGAGAGACAATTGAAGATTTCTTTCAGAAAATCAATCTGCCTAAATTGAATAATGAACAAAGTAGGAATCTCGTAGCAGAAATAACAGAGAAAGAAATTCGCTCAGCCATATCGCATCTTAAACCAAATAAGGCTCCAGGTCCGGACGGGTTCCCTTCCGAATGGTACAGAGTCATGGAGGGTTCTTTGACCCCTGTGCTGCAGTCCACCTTTAACTGGGTTCTTAAAGAGAACAGTATACCTCCCTCTTGGAGGGAGGCGGTAATATCTTTAATTCCGAAGAAGGGGAAGGACAAGTCTGAATGCGGTAATTTTAGACCAGTAAGCGTGTTGAACCAGGATTCTAAAATATTTACCTATATACTAACCAAACGAATAGAGGGACTGCTATACCATTAATTATTAGTCTTGACCAGACAGGTTTTATTCGCGGAGGACAAACTCAAGATAGTATAAGAAGGACTTTACACGTAATTAACCATATAACAGAATATAATTTAGATGCAGTACTAGTGGGGCTGGACGCCAGAAAAAGCTTTCGACTGTGTAAATTAGTCTTTTTTGTATAAAGTTTTGGACAAATTTGGATTTCATAGTACCTTTATTAAAACTTTATGAGCTCTCTACGATAGCCCAAGGGCAAGAATTAAAATAAATGGGGCTGTCTCTAACCCCTTTTCATTAGAAAGAGGAACAAGACAGGGCTGCCCAATTAGCCCCCTCCTGTTTGCAATCTTTATTGAGCCCCTGAGCCAATGGATCATTCAGGACAACAATATTAAAGGAATCGTTATGCATGGGGGAGAACAAATTATTTCGTTGGTCGCTGATGATGTACTGGTGTATTTAACTGACCCTGAGCAATCTTTGGCACGGCTATTGGAGCAATATGGATCCTTCTTTGCATATAAGCTGAATGTTCCAAAAACACAAATTCTTTGTTTTAATTACAGCCCTTCTTTAAATATGAAAAATAAGTATAATTTGAAATGGTGACTCGGTTTCAATTAGATATTTGGGGGTGAACATTCCAACAGACTTGACAAATTTGTTCTCACTTAACTACCTCCCCTTGAACAAAAAAATTAGGGAAGACATAAGGAGATGGGATCTTTTACCTTTTCTTAATTTCGGATCACGCGTGGAATCTGTCAAAATGGTTATTTTGCCGAAATTGATGTATCTCTTTCAGTCTCTTCCACTAGATATACCTGAAAACAATTTCAGGAGTGGGACAAGCATATTTCAAGGCTCATTTGGCAGGGACGAAGGCCAAGAATTAGATACTAGAGTTTACAATTGACAAAAACCAAGGGCGGGGTCGCTCTCCCATGCTTAAAAGACTACTATACCGCTGCTCAACTGAGGCCATTAATATGCTGGTGCAACCCAGATTACTGTGCTAGATGGAAGGAGATTGAAGGTGCTATGTCAGATGAATTTCCAATTCAGGCTGCAATTGGGGACAAGGACTTGTTGTACAAATTAAAGGAATTGGGAAACCCATGGATATGTTTGTCACTTAAGATATGGAGCAGGGTAATAGCTCAAAGTAACCTGAAGGAGGGGGTAAAGGTCCTGAGATGGTGTGCATTTGATACAGATTTTTTGCCTAATAGATGGGACGCAAGATTCAAGAGATGGACCTCGCAAGGTTTAACAGCATACTGTACTTTTTTGCATAAGGGGACTATGAATAGCTTTCAAAATCTGAAGAGGCAATTTGGCTTAGATAAGGACGATTTTTACAGATTCCTTCAGGTCCGGCATTATATTGACCAAATGCAGAAGAGGTGTACAATAGTAGGCTGGGATGACATTCTGTTAAAAGTGTTTATAGAGGCTTATCTTGCTGGCTCTAACCGGAAGCTCATCTCAAGAATATACATGGGGATACAACGAACAAAAGGTAGCTCACTGTATGTAAAGCAAAAATGGGAACAGGAAGGAAACTTTGTTCTAAAGGAAGAAGATTGGGAGAAATTATGTGAGATACAGTGGAAAACTTCCAGTTCATCTTTATGGCGAGAGTTTTGCTGGAAAAACCTTATAAGGTTTGTCATTACTCCAGCTCAAAAGAAGCACTACACCAATTCTTCGGCATGTTGGCGACAATGTGGGTGCCTCGAAGCAAATCATTTTCACATTTTCTGGTCCTGTACATTATTGATTCCATTTTGGAGGGAGGTTCATAAAGTTTTGCAAAGCATTTTTCAGATGGACATTCAATTCAAATTTAAGTCTTTATATTTAGGTTCCTTAACAACAGAAAATGTTTCTTCTCATGTCAAATACTTATTTCAGATCCTAAGCGCTGCTAGTAGAAAAGCTATTACTAGAAGGTGGTTAAAACCAGGAAAACCAACGCTATCTCACGACCAATTCGTCCGAATTTGACGAGTGATTAAAAGATGGCTAATTCGTACGAATTCGTACGATTTGTCTAAACCCACGTGATGGGTAGGTTTAGGGACGGGGTCAGGGGTAGGTCATTCGTACGAATTCATACGAATTAGGCAACTCGTCAAATATGTACGATTTAGCAAAAATCTTACTAATTCGTACGAGTGAGGTCGTACGAATTGTTACAAATTAGCCATCTTTCAATCACTCGTCAAATTCGGACGAATTGGTCGTGAGATCGGGTTGGGAAAACCTACCGTGGAGGAATGGATTGACATTATCTACGATATTTTCAAAATGGAAAGGATTACTTTTGCTTTGAGATTGCAACAGGGAACCTTTTTGAAAAGATGGGAGAGATGGATAACGTATATCACTCCATTACGCCCATCATTTGTTTAAAGTGGATTTTGGTGCCCTTTTCCTTTTTTTTTCTCTCTCTCTTTTTTTTCTCTAAAAAGCTTTATGAGTCATTGAGGTTTACCCCAACATGTTTGTTTAGTTCTCATTCTGATTTTACTAGGTCTAAAAATGATTATGT